CGGCGAACTGCCGCACGCGACGGCGACAGGGAGACTCCCCCTACGCGCCCCGAGCGCCATCTCTTATACTCCTTCCAAGCCCACCCGCAACACGATAGGCGTGCGACTCGCCGGCGCCACCGCGTCCCACCCCACCGCGTCCGCGGGATAACGCATCGCCCCTGAGCCGTGACCGTTTCCCTACGTTAGCACTGTCCTGGGGCATGATTTATTGCCACACATGGTCCACCGCTACAAAAGGTCCTGTGTCAGTCGAGTCCCCAATTACCGAACAGAGCCTTCTACCTAATTTCAGCTCCGATGAGGCCCCACTGAAACAAACAAGAGCATATGCACCAATTATTGACCCACTCGCAGCGATAAGGAGTGTCTAATTGCGTCAATGAGCGTCCTTGTGCTGATCCAGGACCAAATGTTTAGGCCAGGGGAGTCCAGCATCAGGCAGGTAACCAATGTATGACTGGTCCATCCGAGGGTTTCCGCATCGATGAGGGGGTCCTCGGGGTCCTGATGGGGTCCTGATGGGGTCCTGATGGGGTCCTGATGGGGTCCTGATGGGGTCCTGATGGGGTCCTGATGTCCTCGTGTCCTTAACATGACAGCCAGCTGGCACGCCACGCCGCAGTGGAATGGCCCTTTGGTTTTTTACTTAAAGCTTTAATGCGTCACATTGTTCTATTCACTGTGCCCCTTGCCCGCAAAAGGTAAGGGAGTTCCATAATGCTCAGTAGGGCGCATCAAAAAAATTTGAGAGAGAGCGTTCATCCTTGTTCAGAATCAGCTGAGAGAGAACGTTCATATCAGTCACAGAGAGAACGTTCATATCAGTCACAGAGAGATCGTTCATCCTTGCGTGCCAGAACGACCAGTCATACTTGCGTGCTCACAATCCTAAGAACAAGAGAACCAATGGTCGAGGGCTGCAATTTCTATTAAGTCAAACGGCGGTAGCCGGTACAGCTCACACTGGGTGGTGGACGCCTGGCGCGAGCATAGCCGTCGTAAACTAAGGTTCCCGAAAGTCGTTCAGAATGAAGTCGAGCCGTTTAAAAAGTAGACTGGGTGTATATTTAATCTGTATCATTACGAGATTCCCCTCTGAACAGCAACAGGAAAATGTATATTCTGCTTGTGACTTACCTGGTTCCACCACCAAAATCCAGCACTGGTTCACTGTGCTGTAAATGCTAATCCGTTCCCCTCACAAATCTAAAATTTGCATTGGTGAAACATGCTCCTAGGCTATCTTTGAACATACCAGTTGACATCGTAAAGGGTTAAACAGCACTACCTTCAAAAACGTTGTCGTTGGCAACCGTCTAACTTCAGTCGTAGACCAACAACGCGCAGCCTGCGGAGACTGCAGCGCTGGGCGCGGGGTTGTTACTCGAACTACGGTAAAACTGGTTACATAATTTATCCATTTCTCGATTCTGAGCAAGGGTTCTCAGAGGAGCGTGTATTGACCATGCCATTGCAACTGCATGATCCCATTTCTATCCGCAACCGACGTTTGCTGTCTTCTACGTTCAAAAAGCTTTGTACATCCCACAAAAGTTCCAGCGCAGCCCCACAGTACCAGCGACTCAGACAAAGTCCACTAAACTACTGTAAAATAAAAAGCGCCAATAATTAATTCTAAGCAATCGTTTAACGCCTGGTTTTTCCAGTCTATCGACCTCAAAATGCAACGAGAATAGCATGCTTGAAATGCCCTCTGGCTTCTGTTTCCGTTAAAGGAAGTACAAATTGAGAAAAAAGAACAGATAAGATGGTATTCTTTGAAATCAGGTCGGGGGCCACATCCGGTAATTTTTTGGGAGGCTTTCACAAGGAGCGGCCCTTCGTCAATCCTGTGTCCCTTCCCTTCCCCCTCCCCCCTTACCAAGACTGGCTGCGCCGCTTTGTGGATGAGCTTGTTGAGCATCAAATATACGTGCATACGTATAATCGCACGGTAACTGAAGAGCGAGCTCAGCTAGCAACGCTGTTACAATTGACCTCCGATGCGTATGGCGTTGCCATGGCGGACGTTCGAACTGAAGTGGGTGAGGGTCGTTTCCCGTTCAGATGCACAAAGGTTTGGACCAGTGCCTTCTTGAAGTACATCAGGCTCGCAATAAATTGAAAAGAGCGGGGAAAAGGGACTCTCAACAGCAGGGTATCTGACATCAATTAAATAAAAAACAGGTATGTTTATAAGAAACCAAATCAATTTGCCAGGCATCCACATGTGATTGTTGTGGCTATGCTCAAAAGTATGCAGAAATGCTTGTTACACACGCGCATATATATATATATATATATATATATATATATATATATATATATATATATATATATATCTCTCTCTCTCTCTCTCTCTCTCTCTCTCTCTCTCTCTCTCTCTCTCTCTCTCTCTCTCTCTCTCTCTCTCTCTCTCTCTCTCTCTCTCTCTCTCTCTCTCTCTCTCTCTCTCTCTTTCTCGATGACCAGAGCTTAAGTGATCAAAACCCGAGCAGTATTTTGTCGCGGCCCACTTATGGCGACTTCCACAATTCTGGCCCCAATCGATTTGAAAAATTGACACTAATGGGTTGTACCACCAAGTAGATATTTCAGGTGGTTGACACAATACAAACTGGTACTCTACGGAACATTTACAACAAAAATGTTTTAATCAGTAATTAGAGCAATAATTTAGCTAATCGGGGAGGTTTATCGTTATCAATATCATGTTCTCCTACGCATCACCTCGCATGCCTAGTTCCACGTAACCCAAACGCCAAGGTTTCCAAGTGTTGGTAGACACTGCCCTGCCTCCCCTAGCTCGCTCACCTAGGTATCTAGCATTATTGGTGAGCGTCATAAGCGGATTAGGTACCGCACGGTTCGTCTCCGTTTGCCGACATCCAATCTGCGCGGAGGGCGTGCGCCTTCCTCCCATCTGTCTCCCAGCTGCCTCTTATCGATGGCCATCTTGGCGATGCTACATCCCTGTAACGACCGGCCGCGTCCGCCGGCCTGGGGAGGGGGCGCCGCTTCCTGTTCCGTGACGGTCGCACGCTCCCCATTTCCGGCCAAGCCGAGCAGACGGAATCGGACAGGAGCAGCCGAGCCGACGACAGCCCACCGAGCTGATGCTGTGTCACAGGCTGGCGGGTGCGTACGATGCCGTTCCTTGAGACAGTCTTGTGAATGGTAGTGCAACAGGCAAGACGGCGGGCAATGTCCGTCGACGACGCTGCGGGGGCAACTGTGCGACCCGATGGCAGGAGGTGAACTGAAATTTGGAGACGTTCAAATTGGGAAGCACCGTTCCCGCATGAGTCCATCACTTGAAAACTTCTGTTCGTACAGCGGCACGATATTTTAATTGATCCGTTTAAAGGGAGTGTTCCATTTGTATGAGGTGTTCGACCGAAATAGCCGTCTTGAAGGTCACCTTCAACTTGCCACCTTGCAGTCTAGAGTCCTGCCCTTCTTTTGACCCAAACACCTATAGGTTTTAGCTAGACACCTGCGCAGACGTGTAGACTATTTTGAGCAAACTATTTCAAGGTCATCCAGGCAATCATGACGCCACAGGGACGTCATTCAAACCCTGCTATTTTATCAATCATGCGGCGACCAAGACCAATACAAATATAGTTGTTGAGTCATTCATACATCGTGTTCGTGTGTACGCTTTCCTGATGCAATGGCCGTCAATTTGTTCTCAATCAATGTTGTACAATGTATCAAAACGTAATCAAGCAATCACGTATTGGCAAGCATACTCACTAAATAGAGAAAAAAAATGTTGTCTTAAGCAGCCTTTTCCACTTAAAAGTATACAAATGGTTACAAGTGAGATTATTTCATCATATCTGGTGACTGCTTCACTATCTTCAAGGGTAGAACATCCCTTTAAATCTTCAAAGCACAGACTTCTAACATTTCGCTTCAGTCCTATTGCCCTCAGAGTTCTATTTTTGACGCCTAGATTTCCGCCGTTCCCGGGACCTAACGCTGCCTGGTGGCTCCTATTGATCAAGGCCGCCAGCCGAGCGCCGCAGCCAGCTGTCTAGTCATGATGTGTTTTTTTTCCTTGGCCCCTCCTCACACACCGCTTCCGACAAACGTCATCGTTAAAGCCGTCGTCACCGTTCGGATGCCCTGTTGGGAGGCGGCGAAGGCATGGTCGTGTCTAGCACGGCCAGGCATCACGCGTAGCACCATACGGCACGCACAGGAGCAGGATACGTGGCGACATGTGGTCCGTTGTGAGCCGTTCTGTCCGCGCCGTGGACAGTTAGGCGGTATTTCGGATCGGACGGGACCCCGTCCAGCACGAGCTGCAACGTTACCAGAGAGTACACTTTCTCCCCGGTGCTCCACCTGTAGGCAATATCTTGCTCTTTTGGTCACGAAAGGCTTCAAGTCGAGTGACGTCTGAAAACCCCTAATGCAATCAAGTGTTTTAACTCTAAATGTGATCATTGCACTAAGCCGGTGACAGCACGGGGATCGTCGTTGAATTGTTATTTTATCACATGGCCAGTAACTATTCGTGTAGAAATTCGGCGACGTACACAGCTGCATTTGTAAAATGAACAAGACCTCGCTCACGTCCTCGTTGTGCCCTCGTTAATTTGAGAGCATGCAGTGTGCTTTGGTGGAACCTCGGCAACGTGGCGTTTGTGGCCGGACCACTGCGCACTGGAGTGTACACTGCTGCGTTTGCCTGTGTACCGTGGAAATATACGACTATGTGAATGCACGCTCTCCCTAAATTTATTTCCCTCGCCTTGCGCCGGACGGTATAAGCCGGTTAAAGCAAATGTTTGCGTCGGATTTTAACAGGCTTCACGTTCTTCCCCCCCCCCCCCTTCCGGGTAGCTTCAGAAGATCGGCTGTGGAATTAAAAAAGGCTCTGCATTGGCCCACAAAACAGAAAAAGGTCGACGCACCCGCCGGGCGATCACACATCAGAGGGTGCCCGCGCGGCACCACCCCACCCCCTCTCCCCCCGGACCCACCTTGCAGGTAGGGCAAGATCTTGCACATGAAGCCGCCGAAGATGAAGTTCTTGAGGAGCGTGCCGACGAGCGTGAAGGGCACGCACAGCACGCCGAGGAGCAGGTCGGAGATGCTCAGGTTGAGCAGGTACACGTTGGTGACGGTGCGCATTTTGGTATTCTGGATCAGCGTCACGATCACCAGAACGTTGCCCAACACGCTCAGGAAGAGGATGACCGAGTAGAGGCAGATCAGGAGGCCCCACTCGGCCCAGATGTCCGCCAGCTCTGGGTATTCGTACGGCCGCCCGCCGCCCGCCGCCGAGCTGACGTTTCCAAGACTGCCGGGTGCCAAGGACGAACTGCCGTTAGCCATGCTGCAGCCGCTGCTGTCTCCGACGCAGAAACAACTGATATCCGAGGCTCGAGAGGCGGCGGTGTCCGATGCTCGAGAGGCGGTGGCGTTCAAGGCTCGAGAGACTGCGGTGTTCGGTGCTCGTGAGGCGGCAGCTTCCGAGGCTCGAGAGACGGCGGTGTCCGATGCTCGAGAGGCGGCGGCGTTCGAGGCTCGAGAGACTGCGGTGTTCGGTGCTCGTGAGGCGGCAGCTTCCGAGGCTCGAGAGGCGGCGGTGTCCGATGCTCGAGAGGCGGCGGCGTTCGAGGCTCGAGAGACTGCGGTGTTCGGTGCTCGTGAGGCGGCAGCTTCCGAGGCTTGAGAGGCGGCGGTGTCCGGAAGCGAGAACACCTCTGATGTGGTGGCCGCTTCCAGGGCACAGGTGGTGCTCGGGACTAACGGAGCGGCCCGTTTGAAACCCAGTGACTTAGACGATGCCTTGATGTTATTTATAAGAAGACGTTTGCTGTCCGGCGTCGCGGCAGACGCTTGATGTGGGTTGCTTGGCCGGAAGCCTCAATTCCAATGGACTGAAAGGAGGCAAGATCTGAGTTACTTACGATCGGCTGGGACCAGTTAAACAGGGAGGAGTTCACCAACCTCTGTCAAGACAAAAACCACAGAGAACAGATCACCTTGATTTTGTATGGCAATCGTCATAGGAAACCAGTCTCTATATCAACATTCTGAGTGGTCTGTCCAATTTGCGCTCTGTCATCGGGGTCAAAAGAGTGCCCATTTTTCATTTGTCAGGCCGCTTTTTATGTCGCACGTGATGCACCGTGACTGGGTTTCATTTCCGACATGGCTGAGTCCTAACTGTAAAGCGTCAAGACTCCGTACAGGGAGCGCACGACAGCATGAAGACGATGTCGTTCTGGTCTCGCTTCGGCAGTCGTTGTCATTGGGCCTTTACGACACATTCCGCAGCCGAGGCAATGTGGTGTGGCACCGCCTCTGACCCTGACAGGAAAGGAGCGCACCGCGGCAGAATCGACTCAGGTGCCGCTGATTTCCCATGCACGCAGTGAAACCACTGTGTTACGAGAACTCCACCCATTAACAGAAGTATCTCGCAGAGAGAGCGAGAGAGTGAGAGAGAGAGAGAGAGGGAGGGAGGGAGGGGAGATATATGCATATATATATATATATATATATATATATATATATATATATATATATATATATCGCTATAAAACATCGCTCCAGTTGGTCCAGCTCGCCCCGCGAACTTGAACGGGGCAAGCTATTGCCCGGTAATAGAAGCTTTTCGAACAGCGCAAGTCACCTAGGGATTAGGTGCACCTTGAATCGACTGAACCTGAAACCACTCGACAGGCATCCGGCCCATCAAATTTTATCGAAATCAAATGTCCCTGTCATACGAGGTTGAAGAAAAAATTGTCGCAGAACATCATCAGGACAAATATCACACCAAATGACGAAGACACCGACAAAAGACTTATCATTTATTACGAGACCAGGGCAACTAGTAGGCTCGTAATGATAAACCTGACAGCAGACCAAAACCAGCTAAAGCGCACCTATATGTTATCTGAATTTAAATGATGTACAGGCCTACCGGCTCCCCAAATGAACTTTTATTTCGATAACTACGACATCTCTATCACGGCGCATGACAATGCAGCTGTAGGAACGAGTGTCAGACCAGCAGACGCGTAAAACCCACAATTAAAAACCCCTATTCTCTGACCTACCTAAAAAGACCCCGATTCTAAAATGATGTTCCAATGAAGGCCGTTTGCAAGTTCTCGAAGCCATCCTCATCAGGGAAAAATGTCCGATTTAAACATTCAGACTAGGTTATGGATCACCTTAGACATGTTTAATCACATTCAATGCATTTTGCTTCCGTTTTCGCAATTTTGTCACCAATTTGCTCGCAAAAAATTGTTCTTGTCGACGATGTCATCCGGTAAACCAGAAGATTTTTTCCCCTGTCGTATCCCACCCTGCAAATGTCGGGTTAAGTGCACTAGATTACGGCTGAGAGACTTAATTGGTTTCTTTACTTAGATGCTGTAGTTTAAGCTTAACCCATTACTATGTTGCCAAACATAGTTCTGAAAATACATGCTTTCAGCGTCATGCGGTGGATATCTTACGTATCTAATGACCGCTTCTCATCAGTGTGAAACCTGCCGACAATACGAAACTGTTCTTTCTCTCAACATACTTAATTTTTTAACGCTGGTGATCCAGTGCAATATCATAAATATATGGAATAATGCATGAAGTCAGAAGTAATGACTGAAACAGGGTGGATATCTACAACAGGACTCTTGAAGAACAGCTCCGTTCCGCCGTTATTTCAATGAAGAGTAAAATATTTAGTTTGTTCTCAGGTTTTTCCTCCAGGGGTAGTGATTCACGCCTTTACACTTCACATGCATCATTCACATCTTGGCATAGGTGCATCAACAACACTTGCATAGAAGATGAATCGCTGCCTACATGTGCCAAATATATATATATATATATATATATATATATATATATATATATATATATCTCTCTCTCTCTCTCTCCTCTCTCTCTCTCTCTCTCTCTCTCTCTCTCTCCTCTCTCTCTCTCTCTCTCTCTCTCTCTCTCTCTCTCTCTCTCTCTCTCTCTCTCTCTCTCTCTCTCTCTCTCTCTCTCTCTCTCTCTCTCTCTCTCTCTCTCTCTCTCTCTCTCTCTCTCTCTCTCTCTATCTATCTATCTATCTATCTATCTATCTATATCTATATCTATATATCTATATCTATATCTATGTCTATATCTATTCGCATGTGCGGATGAGTCTCTCTCTCTCTCTCCCCCTCCCCTCTATCTTTCTTCCCTTGCCGAGTGCAGCTTGAGGTGGGTCAGGGTTTCCATGTCTCATCTCATGTGGGTGGAACGCGGCTAGTTTTTGGCGAGCCCCCGTTCTGACTGGTGCACTGTGCACCGCCAGTGGGGTCAAGCTGACCGAAAATGATTGACTGCCTCTGCTATATCGGCTCGATAAACACCAGATCGTGAGCACCAACAGTGGCACCAGCATGTGATGCGAGCGCTTGGTTCCGGTCCAGATATAACTATTGCTGTGCCTCTTGAGTGCTGAATCTTCCTCCAATCACCCCCACCTCAGTCTTTCTCGGCAATCATATAACAATACTTTGGTGTCTTTAAAACCTAGATGGTAAAGCTGAGCCGTTTATGATGTTTTTATTAAAAACTACCTCTTACCTCGGTGGTATAATCTCATCATGTATATATATATATATATATATATATATAATATATATATATATATATATAATATATGTATATATATATATATATACATCATTTATATATATATCTATATATATCTATCTATCTATCTATATCATATCTATATATATATATATATGCATATATATATTATACCTATATAAATATATATATATATATAGCAAATATAATACAATATATATATATACATATATAGAGGTAGATAGATAGACAGATAGACATAATGGTGTAATCGCCGATGATCATCCAAAGCTCTCGTTAACGACACGACTTGAATTTTAATCCAGAGGCCTGGAAGTGCATGCGATCGCAAACTCGAGCCGCAGCAAACGATATGAAGCTACAGTCATGTCCTACTACGACGCAATGGTGATATCAGAAATGTCAAGCCCATTGACTCTCGTCCAGGGATTCTGATTCCGTTTTATCGCGCGATCTTGAACCAGATCAACGGCGTGACCATCAAAGCCCTGCCGCCCGATTGGCACCACCCTGTCCCTGCCACAGGCAACGGTCCATTTGACTGGATGGTGCCCTCTGCCAGGGTGGTGTCCCGGTTCCTTTGATTGGACGGGCGGCGGAAGCCCACAGCAGCCCGCCATCGGCCGGCGGATCGGCTTCCGCTCAGCACGGCCGCAACGAGCCGTCGTCACGCCGCTGCCGCGTGCAGCCGACGCGACTATTTCCGGCTGATCACTGGCAATGCTTGGCCCCGCCCTCCCAGTCATCGGCCGCGCCAGCTGCTATCGCGAACCGATGCGGTATAAATTTCGGGCGACGAAAACAGCCCGTGCCGCCCACTTCATAAAGCAGCCCGCTCCCCACTGCGTTTATACCTGCGCACCAGCACGGGCGGAAGTGTTTGTTGGCGCTGCCACCTGGGGGATGTCCAAAACTTTGCAGATGGATGGCCACGCTCTTGATCTTTCGAATGGTTTGGGCGGTGGCCGCGCAGTTCAGCCCAGTCCCACCGCATCCCATACCGCATCCTTATTCCAACGCATTCTCCGCACCCGCCGGATTTCTCTTCACCTCCCACCACGGACACATGATCATTGCTCATGTGAGCATAATCATGACACGTCATGAGCAGTTCCATCTAGGGGAAGAAAGATGAGGAAAGTGTCCGAGCATGACTGTCTGGCTGTCTCACTGTCTCATTGAGTGTAAACTGGCGCACCGAGTGCATTTTACGCCATTCAGGGTCCGGCAGCCACTTTCTCCAATGCAACCGAAATCGAGAGAATTTGTGGCGGCATATGCATGCTCAAAATGTTGATTATCTCACGGAATGTCACCTGTGGTTGACCTAACACGAATTTCCTGTATTCGGCCATTTGCCCAAATGACAGTAATGATTTGCCAATAAGGCATATTGTTTGTTGGTAAACCGTCTTATTGGTAAATTGCTTATTGGTAAATATTGCATACTTCGCTCTCCGACTGGTAACCAATGTCCAAGTTGCTTATCCGCTATTTCTCCGCCAGTCGAGCCGTGACTTCCCTCAGGCGGGCAACGATTGTCGTAAAAAACGCGAGGAAATCTGATGGGTGGTAATTCAATACCTTATATTTCCGATTCCTATATCTGCGGCACGCGGCCGCCACTGGAATTGGCAGACCGCATCACTCAGCCTTACATGGAGATATCTCTCTTATGTAAACAAAGATATATATATATATATATATATATATATATATATATATATACACATATATATACATATATATATATATACATATATATATATGTATATATATATATATATGTACCCTTTA